AATAATTAGTTGTGGAAAAAATTAGATGAGTCTAATTTAGATCAAGTTATTGGATTCGCGTTTCCCCTAGATAACTGTAATGTTGGTTCGATCGCACTTGGAGGATAGATAATAGATTCATTAGAGGTTTGCAATAATCATCAAATTTAGTAGACACAGATTTTTATAACTTTTAAAATAGCACTATTGATATCACGAAAACAATCAAATTAAATTCAGTAAATTTCCCTTATTTTATTCTACTGAAATTTGATTATGTAATATCACTAGTGATATCATTAGTGGCATTTTTAGATGCTGTAAAAATCTGTGAATAAAATTATATAATTTATACGATTACATGTAATTTAAAATAAAATTTTATAGGATCATTGCATAATATATCAAGGTTACAAGAATCGGAACCGTTTCATTCAATAAAAATTAACGCGGTATATGTTGGAGACATTCATGTCGATGTACCTCCAATTGATTCAATTCTTGACACTAGAAGTGATAGAATTTCTTTTGGCAAGGCTTCGGGTGATTTCTTTAGGTTGATAAATGCTACTAAATCGCCTGAAGGATGGAAAATACCAAAACTCGTGAATATATCATTTGATATCACATTAAGTAATGATGAAACAGTGAAATTTGACCTGCCAAGTAATGCAATCTGTGATAATAGCGTAGGTTTAAGAAAAGGTTGTATAGCTGTTGTGGATGATAGATCTGGTCCATTAAATACGTGGATATTTGGAATTCCATTTCTTCAAGTAAATATATATAAAAAAAAAACCGTTTTATAAAAGAAATCAATATAGTAATTTATTTAGAAGTCATAACGTTTGAATATTAATCATTATTAATAATTATTTCTTTCTTGCTAAAGAACTTTTATTTTGCGATCGACTTCAAGCAAAACCTTATAAAATTTGCTAATAGAAATAACTTTTGTCCCTCGATAACTACGGCTACAACGCAATTTTTTACGGCTACAACGCGATTTTCTACGGCTACAACACAATCTCCTAAGGCTATAACGCGATCTCCTACAAAGCATCTCCTACAAAAGCAGTTACAAAGCAACTGAAGCAAACAGGGAAAAAGGAAAAGAAAAATGAAAAGGGAAAGGGAAGTAAAGGAGGCTCTGGTGGTGCTGGTGGCGCTATCGGAGGTGCAGGCGTAGCAGCAGTTGCTGGTGTAGCTGGTGTCGTTGGTGCTGATGTTGGTGGTGCTATGGCTGGCGCCTTTGGTCTTGGTCTTGTTGCTGGTATTGTTATTCCTACAAATGATGATGATAACGTAAAAACTACTATTCAACCTGAAGCTCTGATCACTCAGCCTCCTGATGCTCAGTTCACCCAGCCTCCTCAACCTTCTCAAACTTTTCTAAATGTGCCTACAACTCAACAATTCACAACTCAGTTTACATCACACCTATTCACAACTCAGTTTACATCACACCTTTTCACAAATCAGTTTACATCACACCTATTCACAACTCAGTCCAATACTACTCAACTATCTACTGTTCTATTTAATATAACACAAGCATTCCACAATTCAATTTAATACTACTCAATCTACAATTCAGCTAAACCTTTGGTTGCCGGTATAATCCCTGTTTTAAAAAAGTCCATTATATCGAAAATAGTTAGGTGAAATGTCAGAAACAAATATTCAAATATTGTATAAAATAAATAATAAAAATTAATAAAATCAATAAAATATCAGTATAAAATCATAGGAAGATATAATTAAGTAATACTAAAATTTAAAATTTAAATTAAAATAAAGATTATATAAGATGATTAATATAATCATCAATAAATGTTGATTAATGTAAACAGATAGCTTAATCATTATATAAATAACAAGAAGATATAAAACAAATAATAAAGTTACATATACTGTATATATAAAACTAGACACATATAAATCTTTTTTTATCTTTCACTTGAATAATCTTGTTGATCATTTTTATTTTGTTTTGCATATTATATACATACAAATTTTGCATAAATTTTGATTCAACTTCCTACAGATACTTCTACAAGCCTTACAAGTGATCTGGTTATATTAACTGTTCAATTTTATAAGAAATTAAAGTACATCATGGGTCACATCTAATTACAATTCTACAATAGGATATTACTAGCTCTCAGGCCCGGGCGATGCTCCGAGGCTAGGTCCTAAGTGGTTTAAATATTAGATTTATATATTTCTAGCTCTCAGGCCCGGGTGATGCTTCGGGGCTAGGTCCTAAGTGTTTTTAATTTCAAATTTACTAATTTTATAGCTCTCAGGCCCGGGTGATGCTCCGGGGCTAGTTCCTAAGTGTTTTTAATCTCAGATTTTGTAATTATTAATTTTAATTAATTAATTTATAGTTTTTTAGCTCTCAGGCCCGGGCGATGCTCCAGGGCTAGGTCTTAAGTGTTTTAAATTTTAGATTTTATAGATTTCTAGCTATCAGGCCTGGGCGATGCTCTGGGGCTAGTTCCTAAGTGTTTTTAATCTCAAATTTACTAATTTTCTAGCTCTCAGGCCCAGGCGATGCTCTGGGGCTAGTTCCTAAGTAGTTTAAATCTAAGATTTTGTAGTTGTTAATTTAATTAATAGATATAATGAGTAATTTATAGTTTTTAGCTCTCAGGTCAGAGCGATGCTCCAGGGTTAGTTTTTAAGTGTTTTAGATCTTAGATTTTGTAGTTATTAATTTTATTAATTGATATAATAAATAATTTATAGTTAGGTTTTAAGTGTTTTAAATCTCAGATTTTAGTTATTTAATTAGTAATAAAGTTAAATTATAGAAAATTTAGTAAAATTAAATAAAATTTAGTAAAATTTGGTAAAATTTGGTAAAATTTAGTATATTTTGTTTAAAAGTAATAAATATAAAATATTATTATATGTTTCTAATATAAATTTATGCCTAGAATCAGATTATTTAGTGCATAAAGATAGAATTAATTAATAAAATTTTCAATTATTTTATTAATAAAAATATGGAAAATCTTATGATACTTAATATTTTACTAAATAATTCTATTCTTGTATACTAAGTAATTTGATTTTACATATAAAATTACATTATATTGGCATATTTATAGTATATATTTATTAATTTTTCAAAAATAATGTTAAATTTTGGATTTTTTGATCAAAAAATTCAAAAATTAGTAAAATTTGACATCTTTTTTGTAAAATCTATTAA